TTAGAATATTTCGGATATGTGATGCACCACCCAGAAAAATACGGCCTACTCCATTTAATCCTCCAGGGAAAGATTGAAGGCAAAAGAGGTCCAGGCAGAAGAAGAACATCGTGGCTTCAAAATCTAAGGGACCGGTTTGGACAAAACTCAGCAGCACTTTTTCGTGGGGCTGCTGATAAAAACAGGATCGCCAACGTGATCGCCAACGTCCGATAACGGATATGGCTCAAGAAGAAGAAGCAAATGGTCATCTGTGTGAAAAATGGTTGTCACATTTTTCAGTGCCACTGTAATTCTGAATAGTCACTAAACGAATGGCTATAAGTCAAGGATTACTTGCCCTGACACAGTCAAGCCACAGTAAGAATATTCAAGCCCTTCAACATTTTTCCCTGATAGAACTTTATTTTCTTTCAGTACATAAAAAGGGTCTTGTTTAGTTCTCAAGTTCTACTTTTCTATTTGAAGTGCGTTTTATTATTTCACCACAAAATGTTGGCCATCCCAGCTGTTCTGCAGAAACATCCCACCAGGTCCACCACACGTTTGTACAATTCTCTATAAAATGGAAGAAAGGTCTAGAGTCTAGACAGACCTATGTTCCACAATACAAGTAGTCCTCATTTAGTGACTGCCTCATTTCACGACTGTATGCAGCTACCATGGTGTTTAAGAAAGAACTGTATGACTAGTCCTCCCATTTGTGAGCTTTGTAGGTCTGTAAAGCAAAGCTAAAAAGTTGTAGTTTCATTTAGCGACCGCTTCACACTAAGGAGAAACTTCCGGACAGTGAGGACAATTAACCAGTGGAACAACCTGCCTCTAGAAGTTGTGAATGCTCCAACATTGAAAGTTTTTAAGAAGAGACTGGACAGCCATTTGTCTGAAATGGTATAGGGTTTCCTGCCTGAGCAGGGGGTTGAACTAGGTGACCTCCAAGGTCCCTTCCAACATCATCATCATTATTATCATTATTATCATTATCATTATTATTATTATTATTATTATTATTATTATTATTATTATTATTATTATTATTATTATTATTATTATTATGTGGCCAGTCTCAACTCTGGTAGCTAAACAAGGACCACCTTATATTTTTTCCCCTTTAATTCAAGGACTATCAGGGAGTCTGCAATTTTTACCAGAAAATTATTTCTCCCTCTCCAAATATATACTTTCCTTAATATAACGCTCAGGAAAAGGGGGCTCAGAATCCCCTTATCTGGTGGTGCCCAACATTTTCATTTTAGCAGTGGCTGCCTAGATATTTTCCCCCCACTGAGAGAGACAGGCAGAATGTCCACATAGGCAGTGTGCATCATGTGGAAACATGGCTGGCTCAGGGATTCTGGGAGTTGAAGCCCACAGGTCGTAAAGGGGCCATAGTTGCATACCCCTACCTAGTTTAGCTGATGCCTGAAGCCCAGAGACCATAATCCAGCAGCAGAACAGGACTTCCACCCATCCTCCATCACTTCCTGCCTCTCCTGGGTGCAAAAGAGGAAGGGGGAACATGATTCCAATCCTCCAGCTTGCCTTCTAATCCCGAAATTGAGGAGGAGGAGGAGGAGGAGGAGGAGGAGGAGGAGAAGGAGGAGAAGGAGGAGGAGGAGGAGGCGGCAAGCACTGGCACAAAGCTAGCAGTCTATTCCCCCCTGACCTCTGCAGTTACAAAATTAGAAACTTTTGCTCTTTGTCTTTAAAATAGCATGTACTCATTCACAGCAAGTGCATCGTCGCATTATTGGAATCCACAAATAAAAAAAGTGTGCATATCTTAACAGCCCCATCAAATCGACCACACCCTTAATTTAAAAACAAAAATATTTCTTTGTATCCCACCTTCATTATATATACAAATAATTCAAGGCAGAGAACATACCGAACCTCCCTCCCTCCCATTTTCTTCACAACGACAACCTTGTCAGGTGGGTTGGGCCGAGAGAATGACTGGCAACCCAAGGTAACCCACCAAGCTTTCATCACTAAGGCAGGACTAGAACTCCCATCGCCTGGCGATTGGCCCGAAGCCACCCAACCGGCTTTCAAACCTAAGGCAGGACTACAACTCCCGGTCTCCTGATAATTGGCCCAAAGTCGCCCCATTTGGCTTTCATGCCCAAGGCGGAACTAGAACTCACCATCTCCTGGTCCAAGGTCATCCAGCTGGTTTTCCTGCCTAAAGCGGGACCAGAACTCACTGTCTCCTGGTTTCTGGCCTGTGCCTTAACCACTAGACCAGGGGTAGGCAACCTTGGCTCTTTTATGACGCGTGGACTTCAACTCCCAGAATTCCTGAGCCAGCCAAGCTGGCTCAGGAATTCTGGGAGTTGAAGTCCACGCGTCATAAAAGAGCCAAGGTCGCCTACCCCTGCACTAGACCAAACTGGCCCTTAGCAACGATGACTAACTACATCTGCTCAGCTTCATCTCTGGTTTGGCTGTATCTCGGTTTCTCTCCACGCCCTTTGGTCAGGTTTTAGACTGAAAAGTTCCTGCAGCCAACTGGCCTGCCTCCTTCCTTCGCTTCCCTCGCTGTTTACGTGTGGTCAAGCCGAGCGATTGCGATTACATAAAAGACCTCATCCCCGCTGCTGCCCGAGGGATGGTCCCTGGGGAGCGTTTGCCAGCCCAACTGGACTGCACCAGACTTCCGCGGTCCCCTTATTTTACAAAAACACCAGAGCCTCCTTCGGCGGTGAACTCCAGGAGGATCCTGCAAGCTCCTCTGCTTTTGTTTTTCTCCCAGAAAGACAAATACCTGCAGACGCTTGGCTCCTCTTTAGCACAGGAGTTATTCAGACTCGTAAATATTCAAAAACTGCATCAACAAACTCGCCCGGCATTTGAGGACAGCCTCTCTCCGGTAGCTGCTCTTTCTGCACCAAGAGCAGAAAGCAGCTCCTGAACTCAAAGCCCAGATCCCAGGGTCCTGAAGACAGGTAGTCCTCAACATGGCCCAAAATTTCTGTCGCTAAGCAAGACGGCTGTCCAAATGCCAGTTGCTCCTCCTTCTGCATCTCTCAGCTATTTGTTCGACTTTTATTTTTGCTTTATTTTTTGGGCTCAGAATGGTTGGGTTCTACTCTTCTAGCTTTCTTATGCAGGTCGTCCTCGACTTACGACAATTCGGGCCAAAATTCCCCTTGCTAAACAGGACAGTCGATCAATGACTTTTGTCCCGTTTTACGGCCTTCCTTGCCCCAGTCGTTAAGTAAATCATTGCGGTTGTTTACGTTAGTAACACGGTTGTTAAGTGAATCCGGCTTCCCCTTGTCCGAAGGTGGCAAAAGCGGATCACATGACCGCAGGGCACTGCGACCATCATAAATATAAGCCAGGTTGCCAAGTGTCCGAATTTGGATCACGTGATGGTGGGGATGCTCCAACCTCCGTAAGTGTGCCAAACGGTCATAAATCACTTTTTTTCAGTGCCACTCTGACACTCTGTCACTAAATGAACAGTTGTAAGTCAAGGACTACCTGTACACAGGCACACATGTTCACTCATATCCAAGCCACCCAGTTTGAGGGGAACTGGCGAAAGCTTTGAGGGATACAGCTTCAAGTCCTTTAGCCCAAAGAGGTCTCTTTACTCAGAAGTAAATTAATCACTTAATGTAAAGTAATTAAGTTAATCAGTCCATGTTGCTACTTTCTGGGCAAGATTTGTTTCATTTGCACATGTTTTAATCTTGTACTTTATAT